GCTGGAGTCGCAGCGGGGGCGCCCTGCCCCCCGTGAGAGAGGGGCGGTGATTGCGGCTGGGGGGGGACAGCCGGCCCCGGGTGGCATCACCCCCCAGCCAGTGTCACTGCGGGGCTGGCATCACCCTTGGCCAACGTCACCCCTAATCTGGCATCACCCCATGTCCAGTGTCAGCCCCAGGCTGGCACCGTCCCTGGGTTGGCATCACCCCCAGGCCCATGTCACCCATGGTCTGGTGTCGTACCCCAGGCTGGCGTCACCCCAAGGCTGGTGTCACCCTGGGTGGCAGTGGCTCCCTGGGGGTGTTGGTGCCACCACAATGGCACCTTGCCTGGGTCCATAGGTTCCTCTAGGCTGAGTTTGGGACAGTGGCACCCATCAAGGCGCCCTCCCCAGTGAGGTGCTCCCGGTGCATCAGGCACCCACTCGGGGCCATCCCCCTGCCACCAGCTGTCCCCAGTGAAGCTGGTCCCACATCCCAGTTGCCAGCAGCATCCCATGGTCCTGACCACCAGCCTGGAGATGGGACCACAGGCATCTTCACACCCCACAGCATCCCAGGGTGAGGAGATCTGGGGTGGGGGTGACAGGGTGCCAATGGAGGGTGACAAACAAGCTGGGTGATGTCAGGGGGGTAGGAGGGTGTCAGTTCTTGAACATGTCGCACAGCAACTTCTCCATGGGGGTGTTGCCGATGGTCCGGCGGAAGAAGAGCAGCTCCACACGCTCAGAGGAGATGAAGCGCAGCGCCGGGAGGAGCAGCAGCAGCTTCCCGAATCTGGGGGATGGAGCGGTGGCCGTGAGCAGATGTTCCCACCCCTGGTGTCACCTCTGGGAACGTGGGGCCAGCGGTACCTGACGGGTTGCCCAGGGTAGTGAGAACGGTTGTGCTGGCCCAGCATCACCTGCGACTGGTCCTGCAGGTTCTCCACCTGCTCGGGGTCCTTCAGGCCACGGGTCTCTGTGGGGACAAGGGGGTGACGGGGTGGGGTGGGGACATGGGGACGAGCGGTGGCAGGTGCTGGTGGGTCCCCTCACCTGGTTTGAAGAGC